TTTAAAGATTTTTTTTTACAAAATAGTAGACGAATTTTTTATTTTATTTGTTTGTTATAATATGGTTAAATTACGCAAAAGGTTGAAAAATTAAAACAATAACATAACTTTCTTATAATACTTTCTGAAGTCGGGGGTTATAATTCTTCGATACGCTACGCACAACTTATGTTTTACTATATACTTATACATACTCGCATTCTATGGAAATTATTTTGCTCGTTTAAATTCTCCAAAGTTACGTTTTAATCTTTATTAAATGCTTATTTTTCTGAAAGCGAATAGTGTGTATACTCCTAACAGTTGATGAAGAGTGCACTATCTAATATTTTTAAAATTAATAATGTCCTCCAGACCAAATTTTACATGCGCGTAAGTACAAGTGAACTTCCTACTTCACTCTCTATGGTCGTTTGGGCAATCCGACATGACCGGTGAGAAATTTTGCGCGAGACCGACGCGGCGGCTTTACGTGCTTTTCGAGGAACGGTGGTGAAACACCGCCGAATTCTTGACTCAGGGCTGTTATTGAGAATTTCTTAACAAAAAAACAAAATAACTAATTTATGGTCCGATTCGTGAACCTGGGACCACATGATTAGCTATCGCGTTTACGATCACTAGACGAGCGTACCAGTCGTTTAAAATTAATATTATTAAAAGGGAAAATCTTTAAGTATTTTAGAATTAAAGATTTATATAAATCAGGCTTCCTTTAATTTCTTTCAAAAAATGGAATAAGGATGATTTTTCTGAAGTATAGATTTTCTTTTTTGTCTTAACAGGGCAGAATAGATTAGATAACCATGGCAGATAGACCCTTAGACAGAAAAAACCCCTAGACAGTAAATGATTCAGATGCAATCTTAAAAAAAACGAAAGTAGTTACAGAACATCCAGCCATGACAGTAATCATTTTGTCAATGTATAACGTATCGGCTGGTATTTGCATATAGTATAGCATCCTGAAAGCATATGACGAATAGTGGCCGCCATAAAACCATCAGTCCGATTCCTTCATTGAATGTCGTAAGAGATGAACACGAGAAATTCCCCATCTAGAAGGTTTAAAGAAAGAAAGACAATAGGTGGAATAACCGTAAATGTAAAATACCTTGACTAAGCAACCTGCCTGTTTAATATGGTAGTAATAATATCTTCTCCCTGCAATGGTTATATGTTTATAGCATTAGCAACGTTTCAGCTAATGCCTAACTCGCAAAAGGTCTACACAGTTTGAAAAAAGTCAATTCGCTAAATGATTGATTCCTAAAATTCCTAATTCGACTACTTCGGAATTTTCACGTATAATGCATTAGGAAATTTCCACGCTTATATTTGTATGCACGGAAACGTAATTCTCTCAAAACATTTTTACGTTGGTAGATGACGGAAAAAATAGATTGCGCGTTCCAATTATTTATAGATTCGCATGGATTTAGATAACGGATCGGCCGTGACGTGAATGAAAGCCAGAAGGCGCGTTGGGGGTGTGACGCGACGTGTGACGCGTGGCGGCCGGCGTCTCGGTGACGCACCCCTCGCATGTTGCGATGTCTTCGACCTGTTACACATATTGAATCAACTTAGGACTCTGACATACTACAGCTTCTTTTACTGCGGACCTGCGGACATAAAATCAACTGACGACTCCTTGGCGCAGTGGCTTAGCAATGAGTGGCTACGCTGGGGGTCGCGGGTTCGAATTCCGCACGGAACAAGTATTTGTATGGCCTACAAATAATTGTTCCGGGTCTGGATGTTTGTCCGTGTGCAATTTATGTTTGTAAACTGCCCCCACGATACAGGAGAAAATCCTAGTTTAGGGGTAACGTTTTTTAAAAAAAAGAAAAAACTAAAATGTGTAATAATGCACAATAAAGTACATAATAACAAAGATCTCAAACAAATAAAAAATTATATTTCCATAACCTCTTTTAAAAATATTCTATCCATTGACATTGAAATGACTTTGAACATTTAAACTTATATCCTACATTAAGGCCTGCGCTTTGCAATTGTTCTACCTTAAGGTGAAAATTGATCATATTGTACTCTACCTGCAAAAGGAGATGAAACATTAGTAATTGACTTAACCATATACATTTGGAAAATAACTACACACTTATTACTTTGATTTTTATACTTATCGGTAGGGTTCCTTTTATATCTAGAAGTCCGTAAGGTTTGGTAGTATCCTTTTACGTGTTTCTGTCACACTACTGTGTTCCGGTTTGGAAGATAAATTAGGCCGTAGTCCAGGGCATATTGGGCAGAGATCCGTGGCCTTTGTTGTTTTAAAATTGGTTTGTAAACAGTGTTTATACGCTACAGTTGTCACTTACCATCAGGTGAATTGTCAGCTCATTTTTCACTCTAACATCTAAAATAAATAAATAGAATAAAGCTTTTAAAATAAAGCCTAACGTATTTATTTCGTAAGCAGTAAATGCACTGCCTTCAGATTTTTTACGACAATGTATCCAATCAATTTTATTTTAACATAGAATTATTTAATTGGACAAAAATTTAAACATTTTATTGCGAAGATTTTAATGTAGCTAAGTTAAGTGAGATAGAATGTAGTTTAAATTATTTCAATCACAAAAACTAATCCAGATAAGAGGCAACAATTTAAAAGTCGACGTTCATAGTGCCGAAGGTTCTTCGACAGCGTGTGGCCATGAGTTAACTACTACGCAGCTCGGAACGTAAATAGTTATTCCCAAAGTACTTATTAACATACTAAACTAGATATTGTATACGGACTGCAATTTATTTTTCATTAGACAACTGATTTTATATTCTTCCGTCTACAAAACCGTACTTTCTATAATTTAAGTTTCTATACTCGGATATTAAATAGATATCACTTTTAGAATTTCTCCTTTATAAAATTTGAGTACATACAAGGATGTCATTATCTCATAGCTATTTAATATAAAAGTAATTGTACAGTCTTAACGGTAATTTTTTCAATAAAGACAGCACCGGTAGTTCCGAATCAGGGTTGCCAGCAAGTACCATGTTTGTTTTATTGATTGTATTTATATTTTATTTTACATTTAAAAACAAATTAAAATGAAACGGAAAGATGTTTAGATATTATAAGTAAATTAAAAATATTTATTAACAAATAACGTAACAAAAAGCTACAATATGAAGCAACCGCTTTTATAGACACTCCAACGGTCACTAGTTTTCGATACGTTAAGAGAGTTCTAACAGCCCCTGCTCTAGAATGATTGAGCCGGGGCTCGGCGTCACGTGGTGACGTAGGGCTGAACGCCTCCTTACGGGGTAGGGGTGTGACCTACTTACCGTCGTGTCAGTGACCGCTATCGACCTTCGAGTATGCATTTAACAAAAAAGCGATTGGAATTCATTCACTGACCTGTGTTATGTTGTGTAATTAGCTTAACTGTTGTAAATTGTTGTCTTTGTGCTCCGAGCTTTTTGAGATACATCGTTTTCGTATCATAAGCAAAACGTTTATTTTCATAAATTATAGACTTCATTTGCACCAATGCAGTGGTGCCTTTTGTATCCAACAACTGTCATCATCGACAGAGTAATAGGCAATCAAAATAGTGCATTTATCTAGCGAAGCGAACCAACTTAGGACCTCGGGTAAGATTGCATCACGCGGCTAGAAAGATCGGTCCCCACCAATGATGTGGCAAAGGACGCGAAGTGAAATAGAGATCGTCCTCGAAGCGAGAGCGGTGCACGCGTTGCACTAGTCATTGTGCAGTTGCAGTTCGCACGCACGGCCGTCTAAGTGACCTAATAGTGGCTGGAGGGAGGGAACCGGGAAACGTAGCGCGGGGAGCGCACCGCTCGTGCGGTAGGTCGCGCTCACTGCGCGCCCGCCGCCCGCCGCGCTGCCGTACGCCGCTGGAAAACTTTCTTCGCCACTTTTCCCCGCGTAAACAAAACCGCGAAAAAATCTACGGACCATTTGCGACCCTATTTCGCGCCCTACGCATTAACGTTAGACATTTCACTTAATTTGTACTGAAAGTTTATAGCGGAGGCTGTGTGTATCATATCGAACCGTTCGAGGTTCTTTCTTCCTAAGTCTAAGCTTTGATCGGACTGTGAACAATTATGTGATGATCGTAAATAATAGTTTCTCAATATTAAAAAAGGACCGACTGTGCTTAATATGTAATACCCAATACAGCAGAGGCTAAAGATACAGCATATGGATTTAGTATTAAAAAGTCGGTAAAGTTTCTGATTTATAGTTTTACTGTTTTTTTGCATTTAACCGGCAAATTATGAATGACATTTAGTTTATGTAATGTTGCGAATTTTATAATCTATTTTATAATATATTTTATGTAATTAATTATAATCAATTGTAACATAATTGCGGTTATAAAGAAAAAAAATCAAATATATTATATATTAGACTGTTAATAATGTGACATAGAATAGAACCCTTTGTGATGTTAGCACGCAGGCGCATGCTTCCGGGCGCCGCATCTGCGCGCGCGCCGCTTTCACTTTCTCCTCGCGTACCGCGCGGCATCTCGCGTTCAAGCCGCCGCGACCTGCGGCCACGCTTCCTGCATTTTCCATATATATTTCACATTTCCTAACTCCGCATTAGTGTGTGAAATACAGTTATATTTATTAAGTTTCAAATTGCGTCGTAACCCGTTGTTCTAAAATTCCGTGGTTATTATTACATATTAGTCTTAATTGAGATACTATCATCTTCTGTAGGTATATTCATAATAGATTAGTTTTCTATGTGTTCGGAGCCGCCGCAGCGCTCACATCGTGACGCAACCAGCTAATCTAGTCGGCGGCGGCGGGAAGTGCAGTGACGCGTCCCCGCGCCTCACCCCGCGCACTCCAACTTCGACCACGTCGCGCGGTCGTTGACATTTCACCTAGTTTCTATTTGTCGGTTCTTAAAGTCCACGGTGCTCTTTTTCTTAGTCGGGAAGACGAAAGGTCGCCAGTGGCTATTGTTGATCGCGTCCCGTATGCCCACAGGCGAATCGGCAGCTGACACCAGCACTTCATCGCCGGATCCGGGCCCGCCGTCGCCGCGCATGGCCGAGACGGGCTGCAGTACGCCGCCGCATCCACCGCCTGTGTTCGACGGTGGGGGCTCGCCATCGCCGTCCCCCGCCTGTCATCCCACCGTCATTCGATCGGCACCACCTTACTCCGTCATCAAGTTCGAAGGAGCGTCCACTAATATCAAAGCAGAAAGTTCTCCAGCGCGCAACAAACCAGATACACCGACGCCGTCCCAACTCTCATCTGTGAAGCTGGAAAGCCCGCCACAGGATCTGCCCCAACCGTACAGGCCCAGAACACTGGCTCCGCCACCTACTAGCACTCATTCACCACTATCACCGGGCCACTGGCCACCCTCCGCATGTATCAACGGTGTCAAACCGGAATTGATAGGCGGACACTTCCCACCGCAACCCCTAGAACCCAAGCCTGGTGTGAGAGGTCCTGCTCAATGGCGAGGGTCACCTGCTGTCATCATGGGTGAATCTGGTGGCGTACGAACAATGTTTTGGACGTTACCAGCACCAACTTCAAATAATGAACCTGCAGCGAGTGCGTCGCATACACCAGCACCGCCCACGCCTGATCCAGCTACGTGTACTGAAGAATCGGCAGCACGATTGCTACTTAATCTTGGAGGTGATTTAAGAAGACCGAGGGGACCTCCATTAAATATGGAGCTACTTTGGGCTGGAGACGTTTCGCAATTACCAGCTAACCAACAGATGCACGCTTTAAATTTAAGCGCAGCAGCAGGCAGTATGTCAGGGACGTCAGCTATCGCAAGCGCTAGTGCACTTTCCATTCCACGGCCCGAGCTTCGGGCATACGCTCCTGAAACCGAACGCGACGAAGATGAACAACCAATGATTTGCATGATATGTGAAGATAAGGCAACAGGATTGCACTATGGAATTATCACATGTGAAGGCTGTAAGGGTTTCTTTAAACGGACTGTTCAAAACCGACGGGTTTATACATGCGTTGCAGATGGTGGCTGTGAGATCACAAAAGCGCAACGTAATAGATGCCAATATTGCCGGTTTAAAAAATGCATTGAACAAGGAATGGTGTTACAAGGTTGGTATACGTCTTACTTATTATAAAAATTACCGTCAAAAGAAAGGTAGATATATGTCTAATATTCTCTTTTTTACAACAGCTGTCAGAGAAGATCGCATGCCAGGAGGTCGAAACAGTGGCGCCGTCTACAACATGTATAAGGTTAAATATAAGAAACATAAAAAAGCAAACACAAAAGCAGCGACGGCAACGAGTCGGGCTTCACCACCCGAAAAACCTAAGGACCCCTTGCCACCACTCCCACCGCACCTTGTAAATGGGACCATACTTAAGACTGCACTGACTAACCCAAGCGAGGTAAGACGCTCTGAAAGAAATAGAAAAGCGTAGTTAACTTAAGAATACACTAAATCATTCACATAAAATTAATTTTTTTAAGGTGGTTCACTTGCGAGCGAGACTGGAAAGCGCCGTGTCATCGTCACGAGATCGGGCAGTTCCCTTGGAGAGGGCGCTGCATATGATACGAGCTCTAATAGACTGTGACGCCATGGAAGATATCGCCACCGTCCGACATCTACCAGACCTACTCCATGACACCTCGGAGATAGGTGACAAACTCTGTAAGATCGGAGACTCCATCGTCCATAAAATGGTCGCCTGGACGAAAAAACTGCCATTCATAATGGAGATCCCGATGGAAATTCATTCAAAATTATTAATGGAGAAATGGCACGAGATCTCAGTTCTAACAACTGCTGCGTATCAAGCGATGCACGGGAAACTTGCTCATGCACCACCTTCATCGGACCATGAACACGATTTTATGCAAGAGGTAAGCATTAACTTCATTATACTAAAATATACTGTAGTGAAAGTATATACTGCCCTTTGATGAGTTTTCAGACAATAATTAGGTATCATCATATTTTGGTAGTATTAAATCTCGCAACTAAATAAATAACACTGCAGTCATTAATCTTTATTATTATATTTTGTGGTTTGTACAAATACTATGTTTCAATACATCATCTTATTACTAGATCTATGTAATGAGCCCTAGAACACGGCACTAGCGGGTCACATTAGCTCCAAAGACTTCCGCCACATGCGCCGGAGTGCAGTTACGTGATCTGCATCGACGTTTGCGTAATCACGATAGAAAGTCGCCAGCAAACTAGCTGCATTCGGATGGTCGCGTATACGATACAGAACTTGTTTCGCTAGAATCGGGCAATAAAGCTATATATCGGATATTTATAATACCTGAATTATTTAACGCTTTAATGCAGCAAATAATTGATCCATTTCTTTCCTGCTAATCGGATTGATTGACGTTTAGTTTACTTTGTGTTATTCAATAATTTGAACATTTTATTGTATAAGTTAAAGTTACAGCCTACTACGTACCACTCCTGGTGTTTCATTGAGGTTCGAAACAGCGTTCTTTGTTCTAAGAAAATGATAATTTAAATACAGTTTTTAAATCGTGAACACGAACGGTTGCATTTATTACGTAAACGTAACATTAACGGTAACAGCGGTAGTTACACAAAGACTATTTTCATTGTCTAGTGCATTTCCTTCTCAGTTGCGTGTGTGATGTTACGTAAAAATTTCAAGCTTATATGGTTCTAAATTTATTTGGATAAATAGTAACAAATTTTATATGCATTCACAAGGATTCATTCATTTAATCTTTTTTAATGAAAAACAAAGAATGTGAAAGTAATTTAATTTTTAAACCACTTTATTAGTCATCTCTGAAAAAACATGTAAATAATAACACTTTTTACAGAAGAACTACATCAAATTAAGTCTTAGAGTGCCATTTGTGAAAGAACTCTGTTGTACATTTGTAAAAATAAACTATTTCAACTTTTAGTCTATTATCTAAATTTTTTGTGAGACCTTCTAAAACTTAATGTATTTAACAACGATACCTTTCTTCCTACAAGGTGAACGCAAACCTGCGGACGCTACAGAACTGTCTGACGTCGCTAATGGGGCGCCCCATCACGTTAGAACAGCTGCGGCTGGATGTGGGTCTTGTGGTTGAGAAGATGACGCAGATCACGTGCGTGTTCCGCCGCATACAGCTCCGCATGGAGGAGTACGTCTGCCTTAAAGTCTATATATTGTTAAATCAAGGTACGTGTATTTTATTCTCACCATTATTCATTGAAAAATTATCTGTGTAGCTATAGGTATATTAATTGTAATAATGATATTTGATGGATTGCTGGTTGCCTAAAGAGCCCCATATCTCCCCATTCCGTCCAGAGGGTGTCTTAAGAAGCGACTATGAGAAATGCCATCAATATCTCAAAACTTTTTTGGTTACACCAGGCGCAAAATACCCAAATCGGCAACGAGGATCTGCGTTTAAAAGTGCGAGCGATTTCGTACAATCGCCAATTCGCTTGTCTAGTGTGGCAAAGATCAAAGATCATAGAAGTCAAACCTGGTTGTTTACTAGTTGATAAAGAAGAAGAAATATCAATTATATTTTTAATTGGCAGATTTCAACCACAGGGACAGTAAGAGTATCAAATAATTAACTGCACAGAGTCTGTTCGGATTTAAACAATTGCTATGGTATCATGTTTCTGGCTGACAGTGACCACGTCCGAATAAAGCGGAAATATTCAACTGCATAGATTCTTTTTTAAATTATCGTTACAAGTGTTACTCATGCTCAAATTGTTATTATGCATAAGATTGGCAGACGTTAGTAACTGTACCCGTAACCGTACCCGTGTAACCAGGCCCGTTCCTTGGTACAATTTATTAGTTAACAAAATTTCACTTGACTCGCGGGTCGTTGAAGAATGCAGCATAGTGTGAATTGCTAGACACATTTGAACATCCACATTTCGAACGCATATTGCGGTCTGTGGAGAAATATTCAGAACCATTCCTGTCTGAGGGTCGACTGTAAAAAAATATTAACCACACTGTTCGTAGCGCGTTTTTTACTGTTAATGAGGTTTTCCATCTTAATCAAGAATAACAACGTATACAGATTTTGATGCTTAGTCTATATTAAATGTCAATTACCATAAGGTGGACTGAGTGCTCGTTTTAATCCAATTTCTATGAAAACTCGGTGTTGTGATCATTGCTAAATTAACACTTAATAATTTCACATAAATACAACAGTAAACATTCGGGAATCGCAAACAGACAAGCCTATTTTACTCGTATTTTTGGTATCGAGTATAATAAGATTGTAAATTTTGATCTCAACTAAAAGAATATAAAAATTAACTATTGACTGTACTTTTATACATGTATTACAATTTAAGCTTAATAAATTTGACAATCAAAATTGCATTATGAGTAGTTAAATTGTATGTTTTAAACATTGATACTTCATTTATAGTTGAAATATTAATATTTTTAATAAATATTGTTATATATGATTACATTTTCCTGTCATTAAAAAACACGTGTGCATTTCACACGCAGTGGAAGTGAAACCTTCAGAAAACTAAACTTCGAGAGAATGCGACGAATGCAGAGTATCAGGAGTAAGATAATTGTAGAGTTTAATTATTGTTATATTGTTAGCAAGATTAAAAGTAATTTTATATTTTATTCTACATAATATATTACATTACATAATATACAGACTCCACTCCAATCACTTTACTCCAATTTGATCATGGTTAGTACTTGAAAATATTTACTAATCAACAAACTACGCCCTAAATCCTTACTGTTCATAGATCACATGCATAATCTCTATACATATTATGCAACATACTGTATTCTATCTCATTCTCTCACATCTACAGGAGATGTATGGTTGTCTCTTTTTAGTGTCGCTTTTTCGTTTCGTCAACTAGTATTGTTGATCGAAGTTTGAAACACGAGGTTTCAAACCACGACGATTCTAAAGATGTTTTCACTTTAAGAACAGCATTTACATTAGCAGAACTATATAAAATAATACCAAAACATTACATCATTATATTCCGCATATTTCATTAATTCCGTTTCTTACTACTAAATATAAACAAAATATAACTCATTTAAAAAAATCTTAATATACATTATATTTGGGCTAAATGTAGTATTAACACGAATACAATTTTAAATAAACAAAAGTTTTTGTGTTAATTGGAGTTTATTTTAGCAACTTCAAACGGATATTGCATATCAAAATAGTGCTTTTAGATAAAGTGTAACCTTTCACCGCCTGACATGTTATTAAGGACGTTGTTAATGAGACTAAATAAATAAAGTGCGTAAAATCATTATTTTCATTTCCTAGTTATACAAATTTGGAACAAATATAATGTAGACGCATAAAATTTTATTTGCAAGTTTTGGAGTGTCGAGTCTCTTTAGCAGCATACATTATTCTTGTTGGTTATGTCCGCTCAATTCCCTGGCGAAGCCAAATTGTATAACATGACATTTAAAGATTTTTTAACGTGTTAGAAACACACTAGCTATCTTATTATTGCAGCACGAATGGGCTCGACCGGGGTAGAACTAAGTAGGTTTTGTGACGAAAGACCCCTTTCACTGGTAAAGAGGCATTATATCTTATTCTTCTAGGTGACAACGTGTCAGGAGAAAAGATGTTGTTGTCTAGTATCACAGCAACCACTTAAACGTGGTAGAGCCAGGTTCAGCTATATACTGGTTGTAGTACGAATGGGTCGGTTCAACCACAGTATACTTATTTATATACTGTGGCTCAACCGGGGTAGGACCACGCTCTAACAGAATACCAGCGTAGTAACAGCTTCATGCTGCTGTGTTTAGTATGGTGAGTGTAGAAAACCGGAGACCCTTTTTACTAAAAACGAAGCATTCTATCTTAGTCCACAGAGGTGACAAAGCATCTGCATTATAATTGAGGATAAATGTAAATGTTTATGGGCCACAGCAACCACTTACTATCAGGAGGGACTGTGTGCCCGTTGGTCACCCTTATTCTTTAAAAAAACTTATCATCAAGTGTACTGTGTGCTCGTTTGCCACCCTTTAATTAAAAAAAAACGATTGAGATATTTTGCTTTGCATCTTTAACGGGTACATCCAACCCTTCTCTCAAACATACCACCAAGCGATGCAAAAAGATAAAAACACCTGTTACTGGCTCTGCAAACTTCCGTTTAATAATAAATCACAGCCGACTCTCATTAATTCGAAACTCGTTGTACTCTTCAAATATTACGAATTATCGAGTGTTCGAAATATCAAATGGTTCCAATTTTTGAGATAAAATAAATAAACACTTCGAATCGTTAAGTTTTAATCAATTATTATTTATTAACTGCTATTCTTTAACAATGACAAAAGTTTAGAGGTACATTCGTGTACACAGTAATAATGTGAATTAATTAATTAAGAAACGGTGTTATACTGGTTAGTGAACCTGAGACAGCAACATCTTCATCCACTTAAACAAAATTAGAAAAACTAACATCGCTAATATCAACTAGTGTTTCTATTGCTGGTTATACGTCATGCATAATTATTGAAAGATTTTCCTGATCTGTTATGAAACCGGATTTTTTGACTGAGTTAAGAATCGTTAGGGTGTTACCATTCTCCATGCATTGTCTATCAGTAAAATAGCTGTCAGAATCGTGATTCATGATATTCACAGTTAGCTGCTAGTTGAGAGATTCTAAAACACGAGCACTAGATTTACTTACAATCTTTCTGTCTCTTTCTCTCTGCAACTTTGAATTGTCGAGTGTTTGAGGCCGATGAGTTCGAATTAACGCGTTTTGTTAAGTAGCAATGTCTTTTTCGTTCGAATTACCATGTGCATAAAAATGTATTGATATATTCGAATTATAAAGAGATTTTGTAGGTAACTCGTGATAACTGAATTATAGAGCGGTTCGAATTATCGCAGGTTTGAATTATCGAGATTCGTTACTGTACATAATCTAAGAATTGGATAACGCGGAGCTTTCCCTAGGTTCTTGTAAACTATTTTTGTTAGTTTTAAATCAGGGTGACCAGGACATCGTGATTTATATATTTTTCTCCTGAAGAGTAATTGTGTACGACCATTTGTATCTACTGATTTACTTAAACGCGTTTTGTTAAACTTAAATATTAAATAGACGCGATAAAATCTTTAAAATTAATTTATTCAATATGCAGTGTTCGTGTACTTGTAAATATTAGAAATCATTTTGGAAAAGTATAATTGTTCAAAATAAACCCACCTTAAAAAAAACACTACTTAAAAAAGTATACTTTATCACTAAAAAAAAACAGAAAATAGATATACACACGTACATACTTTCAAAAACATTACCGTCCTTTTGGGGCAGTCAGGTTAAAGTTATTTCTTATAAAAACCTTAAGAAACTTTAGAATCGTTGTGATTTGAAAGTCGATGAAACAAAAAAGCGTCACTAAAAAGAGACAAACATATACATCTATAGGATTTAACCTGCGTGAGATTGAGATAGAATACAGTGTAGTAAGCGACAGTACGGCAGGATGCAGACCGCGAACTTAAAAGGTTGTGGATTCGAATCCACCATTCGATTCCTAATGAATAAAGGAAATATTAGTAATGTTAATAGCATTACCAGTATTTAAAAGAAACAGTGTTATATTATCTCTGTCTCTTCGTTGTGTGGTGCTTTAAAGATAGATATATAAATACTAACTGTAACAAATAAACAATTCTTAAAATATAATAAATGAATAAAAATAATGTTATTGAATAAAATTATCATATTAAAAACAATCTACGTTTTCATGACTGTAGGTCGTCTGGCGTCTATTTTACGTAGATACCACCTTGAGAGTTAATTAATTTTTGCTCGATAAAATGACTGTCCGTCTAAGTAGATGGCGCTATTACAAAGCACCTTTACTCGAAAGAAAATATTCTTTGATTTATTACACTAAAATTTATTGAATGTTTTATGCCAAACTTGTAGTTGAAAATTATAATGTTAAATAAATCATTTGCCGTGAAATGTTTTTATTTTACATTTCATGTTTTTTTTTCTGCGTAACAACGTTTAATATAAAAGTTATTCTTTGGTTCATACACACCATTTATAACTCCATAAGCACTAAAAATATTAGTGCTAAATGTGCACTACTTTTCAATTTCATACCAAATTTTAAATTTCATTATATTATCTAAAATTATT